CCGGTGGCCGGCCCCCGCTGTTGAGCCTGGCGGCGCCTCGGCGGGAGGAGCCCGACTCCCCTCCTCCACCCAAGGGCCGGTGCCACTGGGAGGCCAGGCCGGGTCAGGCCTGACGGCTGCTCCACTGGGCTTTTTGCTCACTGCCTGGAGAGCAGGCCCGTCTTTCCCTCCGCGCCAGCAAAGCGCCCCCCCCCCGGACCTGCCTCTGGGCAGGAAGGTGCCCCCCGGAAAGGGAAAGGCCCGCTCCCCCGACAGCGAGCCGAGCGAGGAGGGGATGCCTGCCAAGGTAACGTCGAGCCCTCCCCAGAAACCCCTGACGCGCGCCGCTGGCCTGCTGTGGGGAGGCGCTGGTCACTGAGCCCCACTGTGCTGGGGAGGGCTGGGAACCGCGTTGGCCGATTCCCAGGTGGGATAAATACGTTCTGCGTCCCCCCTCGGTTCCCCTTGAAGCGTCGCTGCCTCATACGTGTGGGGCGGAGGAGTGAGGTGCCCTCGCTGGGTGTTCTCCCTGGGGGTTGTCAGTGACCAGGGCTGTGCAGAAAAGGTGCTGTGTACATGTGAAATGTATAAATGTACAGTGTCTGCTGAAGAGGGTCTTTGCCCAAATAAAGTTACTAGTCTTTGATGTGCCACAGGACTCCTGGTTGTTTTTACAAACAGAGAAGATGCGTCCTGAGTTCTCCCAACTATAATATTTTGGCTAGTCCCTCCACATTTTATAGTACAGGGCATTAGACCTTCCAGCGGGGCTGTTTGGTGTTCTGTAATGATTGTTTTAAATGTTGTACACATATACTATACCCAAAATGAGTATTTTTAATAATAGTTAATGAATTATGGTTAAATATGTATATGACTCCAGTGTTATACATATCATGCATAAGTATGACTTTGACAAAGGAAGCCCCCACCCCATGACTTTGATGAAGGAAGCCCATGCCTTACTGATGTCATAAGAAAGTAGATGGGGAGTACAATACTATAAAAATTATTTATATAGGTATTTCCTCTTCCACCTTCACTTGTTTCTCTAATAAGTATTTGGAAAAAGCTGCTTTTTGAACTATTTAAGAGTAATTTTTATGTAAGCTACTAAAAAGTACATGTTGATCGCGTGGTAACCCACTGAAAACCATGATGTTAAGAGCACAGAAATAGTCTTTGCCTCATTTTCAGTAAGGCGTCGGAACAGAGGGCTTCTTGCACAAGTTATTCCTGTCCTCATGAGGAACAAGCCCTCTTGCGCAAGAGCTCTTGCACAAGAAGGCAGTGTGGACGGGCAACAGGGGTTTCTTGCACAAGAAACTCCTATGGTTAAAATGGCCATTGGAGCTTTCTTGCACAAAAGAGCGTCCACAATGCCATGGACACTCTTGCACAAAAGCACATCTCTTGCGCAAAAGCACATGGCAGTGTGGACATGCTCTTGCGCAAGAAGCCTGCAGTGTAGACGTAGCCTTGGAGTATACAGTGGTCAAACGCTATCACACTGGAGGAGCTGATTGCCAGCTTTTGTGTTAGGAAATTGTGTGAGGGCAATGAAAGATGTAGTTTCACTCTTCTCATTTTACAGATGGACAGCCATCTTCAAAACAAATACATATTTCTGAGTTTAAACTGAAAAAAAACCCCTGTTTCCTGTCCGTGCCAAAACTAGGTATTTTTGCACCCTAAGCAGAATATTAATTATGAGCCCCCTCTCCTTAGGTTAGCATGTGTTGCGCTCTTTACTTTTGCAGTTTATTATTTTTACTTATTGTGTCTTTGTGCCTTGGGCGAGCACCCCGCTTGCCCCGCCATTATTACAGCCCTTTTTCCTGTGATGGGACAAAAAATTAGTAAAGTACCTAGCGTATCATGTCACCAGAAGACTTGTATTTAAAAAATTCAAAGTAGAGACACTGCATTAGAAAACTTGCATTGATAGAACTAAAAAACAGTTACAGAGGAGCAGACCCCTAATATAGATATACTTAAATCACTTTAAATCCACTTACACCAATTTAGCTTACTGTAGTAACTTATAGTATTAAGCTAAATTGGTTTAAGTGACTCTATTATACGGGTTTGCACCAGGTAACTAGATCAGTGCAAGTGTCTAATAGACACAAAGACTTCACTGGTTATTGAATCTGTTTTAGTTTTTCCCATTTGTAACATGGTGAAAATATTTACCTCCTTAGTGTAAAGCACTTTGAGATTTACATATGAAAGGCAGTATGTAAGATTGTTATTCTTAAAATACCTTCCTAGTGATAGAAGAGCTAGTAATTTGACTACTTACATCCACCTCTTTACAAATAGTCTTGTAACCCTCTATTGCCATTTTATATAAGTTATTAAACAGTAGGTTACATAAATGTTTATATTAGACAGTGAGTAAATGATATTTAAATTATGTATTCCATATAACAAAAATTGCTGCATAGGAACTTGCTGTTTCCATTATGACTGCTACAGGTATGTTTATATTACGTACTGTAATACCTATCAGTCTGATGTAGTGATGAGCATCTCAAAAAAGCATGAGACTTAACAATGTATAAGTGAGACTTACTTTTTCTTTATCTTCTGGCCAGCAAGTTTTCCACAAATCTTCTTTCCTTCTCTTACAGATTGTTTTCTCCTTTCTTTCCTGGTCATGTCCCATGAGTTCTTGTATTCCTTTAACAGAATAAGAATCTTGTCCTCAAATGTGAAGGGAGATTTGTCAACACCTCATGAAAATCTTTCGTCATTTTAAGAGGGCACAGCAACACTTTCCCTCTATTTACTGCTTGATTTACATTTTATAAAATCTGTTATTTCCAGAAATAACATATTATGGGCCCTGGACCATAATATATAAAATCCTAAGAATTCACAAATTGCTAATTAGGTGAGAATACAAGCTACTTAACAAGCAGCACCAAGTAAAGCTCAGAGCCCACAAACATCTTCAAGGAAGAGCTTGTATCCAGCAATAAATGTTGCAACATGGCCTAAAAGGTTTGGAAGGGGGGAATCACTCTATTGGACCATAACACTCTTCCACTGGCACCTATCCTGAGTGAACAAGTTGCATGATATCATTTCAAACCTCCCCTATGATCGCATGAGAGTTTTCTCCACACGTGTACTGCTAAATTTGTGCTGCACAGTGGGTGTCCAATTTTTTTAGTTAAAATTTGCTTTAAAGGTTCATAGTTTGAGACATTTTCAAAGGTATAGTAGTTTGCTTTACATTTAAAAAAAGATATCTGAAAGAATTAATGCTCTGCAGCGCATAGTCTGTCGAGCTCCATATCTACAGGATGAGAACAGTACTGGTGGGCCATTCAGCGTGCAGAGCTTACTCCATAAATTAGTTCCAGATTTGGTCTGTCTAGAAATTCCAAAGTGTGAATAAAGATCCGCCATCTAGGGTTCTTGGAGCTGTCAGTGGTGCATGTGGTAAATATGAGAAAAAGGAGGCTAGACCCTGTGTTGCCTTCCTGGGCTGGCACCAGGGAAGAACCATGTCTAAGCTTTACTAAAAACTTTCACCAAAGAAAAAGTCACTGAATGGATAAGGTTGTGAAAGTCTTGGTCTGTTTGGTGGTAAACAATTTTATTTGGCTACTTAATCTGGCCTGTGAAGGGAAGACTCCTATTAGTACCATTGGAATTGTTCAGACATTTTTCTTGCTTGCTAATATTGGAACTGGAAAGACTCTATGTCCCCAGAGAACTAATTATTCAGCTTAACAGGAAAAATACCAGAAAATGCTTCACAGAAACAAGTAATGCCATATGAACAGATGAATCAACATGAAAATCAGACTCTTCTATACCAGGCCACAGAAATTGTCAAAGGTGAACAATCACTGAAATAGTGCTTCAAAATAACTACTATTCTAAAATAAATGTAGCACACCTGTGTCTAGGAACGTTATTTTACCATAAGACATCTTACACCAAATTCAACTCTGACACAAGATCATTGTATTCAATCTTGCTTTACAGCCAGGAAAACTTTTGCTTCTGACTTCCTTGTTAGTTTTTCTTTTGGTGAATGGCCCATTCAACTTTTGCTTAATGTTAATATTTGCAACACCAGCTTTGGAAGATGATATTTTAAAGATGAGTTTTATGCTTATTTGGGTTGTGCACCCATACCTGCGTGAAGAGTGAGAGAATAGAGAACCAGGTGATAGCTTGAGCAGTGGTCTCAAACAATATGATCCCAGCTATGAAGATAGTATGGGAATTTGAACATCAGGGCCACGGCTAATAGAGTGAAAACCAATTTCTCAGTCCACAGATCACTCTGACTCCTTAGAAGTCTATTCCTATAGTCAGTGCAGTGTGATCGGCAGCCACGTGCTCAGTTTTTGTGGGTAGAAGTCTGTCTTTCACTGACTCTTTCTCTGCTCTCACTTTCCCTTGGGTTCATTTGGTTTCTTCTTTTGCTCAATCACTTTTTTTTTCCTCTCTTAACTTGCTTAGGTGCCCCTGACACACCTCTTCTGTAAAGTTCCCACTTCTTGTTACACCTCTGCCTGCCTATTGCCTCTGTACTCTCAGGGGTTTGCTGCTCTTTTGTCAAGCCCTTTCCTTTCCAACTGTCATTTCCCAACTGCCCCGAACCTCTGGTTTAAACATTCCATCCTTTCTCCTGTGCCAAGGACCCCCATGCAAATAGTTCTGCTTAGTAAGTAAAAGGTAATATGGGAAGAGATTAGGGATGTGAAAGTGTACACGTGTACTTGATTAACCAATGAGCGTCGGCTTTTAAGTCCGCTCCCTGCGAGCACTGGTTGCCACGGAACCGGAGCTGCCTCCCCTCCTTGCACTGCCTTATGTCACCTTATGTGACAGCTTCTGATACAGAGGCAGCTGGGGAGGGCAGCTCCATGGGAGCTTATTAGGAAGGGAGGATAAGGGACCTGCTGAAGGTAGGGAGGTGGGTTGGGCCCTGGAGTAGACTAGGGTCTGCGCCTCGGGAGTGCAGGGTGGTGGGTTCAAGTCCCCCCTCGCCCCACTCTGCCCACCGTGGGAGTGACCAGACAGCCAACACAGGCTGCCCCAGTGATGGACCTGGCTCCTGCATTAGGAAAGCAGGACAAGGGACCCTCTGAAGGCAGGGTGGGTTCTGGAGTGGATGATGAGATAAGGGCACTTGTGTGTGGAGTGCAGGGTGGTGGGCTCAAGTCCCTCTGCCCACTCTGGGAGCAGTGGGACAGCCAACACAGGCAGCCCCAGGGATGGAGCTGGCTCCCATATTTGGAAAGCAGGATAAGGGACCCGCTGAAGGTAGAGTGGGATCTCCAGTGAACTCAGCAATAGGACATCAGCCCCCGGAGCACAGGGAACTCATTTAAACCCTCCATGTAAATGTATAAGTACAGAAAATTTCAGCAGTTACACAGATTTACCTAAATAAACATCTTTTTAACATCGCTAGAAAAGATTGCACCATTTTCTCACTTTCACTGTGGTTGTGTGTCTGTTGCAAATGAAACCAGACCTCATCTTGTTGACTTCTTCCCTTTTTCAAATATAGCCTCTCTCGTTCAGCTCTGAAATTAATGCATCATTAACCAAAGTCTGTGTATACCCTTCGTAATTACCACCCTTCCAAAAAAAGTCCTCAAGATGAGTGGCTTCATTTTCCTCCTGAAGCTTCTCAAAAGGCCTACCTGCCTTTAGTCTCACCTTAAAAAAAAAAAAAATACACCTAGAAGTGTATTTTCATCTTTTTACCATGTCTGCAAGAGCTTTCTTCCCCTAGACTATTGATGAAGTACTCTCCATTTTGTATGGCTCTCCCAAGCTAGCAACATCCTGCCTTCTTTTTCCCAACTTTTCTTGCAGATTCAGAGCATGCTTCAAATACATCCCTGTTTCTCTGTACAAATGAAGAAGCCAATCTGCAAGGCTCTCCTTAGGATGGCATCCTGATGTGATGCACTGTGTGTCTGTGAGAGTGTAGTCTTGGTCTCTGGCAGATCGAAGAACACCTGCAAAGCATCCCTTTCCATATTGCAGACAACCATTACACATACATAGTCTTTCGTGGTGAGATACATATTACATATGGAATGTATAACTGGAGCATTACCCACCTAATTGCTACTACCCTATATTTTAAACAGATAGGAAAATAAAGTAGAATCATAGAGCTGGAAGAGACCTCAGGAGGTCATCAAGTCCAGCCCTTTGCCCAAGGCAGGACCTGTCCCAACTAAATCAACCCGGCCAGGGCTTTGTCAAGCCGAGACTTAAACAGTTCTAGGGATGGAGATTCCACCACCTCCCTAGGGAACCCGTTCCAGTGCTTCACCACCCTCCTAGTGAAATAGTTTTTCCTAATATCCAACCTAGACCTCTCCCATTGTAACTTGAGACTATATTGCTCCTTGTTCTGCCATCCCTCAGTACTGTGAACAGCCTCTCTCCATCCTCTTTGGAACCTCCCTTCAGGAAGTTGAATGCTGCTATCAAATCCCCCCTCATTGTTCTGTTCTGCAAACTAGACAAACCCAAATCCCTAAGTCTTTCCTCATAGGTCATGTGCTCCAGCCCCCTAATCATTTTAGTCCCTCCCCTGGACTCTCTCCAATGTGTCCACATCTTTTCTATAGTGGGGGGCCCAGAACTGGACACAGTATTCCAGATGTGGCCTCACCAGAGCCGAATAAAGGGGAATAATCACTTCTCTGGATCTGCTGGCAATGCTCTTCCTAATGCATTTTAATATGCCATTAGCCTTCTTGGCTACAAGGGCACACTGTTGACTCATATCCAGCTTCTCATCCACTGTGATCCTCAGGTCCTTTTCTGCAGAACTGCTACTTAGCCAGTCAGTCCCCAGCCTGTAACAATGCTTGGGATTCTTCCATGTTGACTATTCCTGATCACTTCCCCTCTTCCAAGTGCTTCAGAAAGGATTCCTTGAGGATCCCCGCTCCATGATTTTTCCGGGGACAGGGATTTTAAGGCTGACTGGTTTGTAGTTCCCTGGATTGTCCTCCTTCCCTTTTTTAAAGATGGGTACTACATTTGCCTTTTTCCAATCATCTGGGATCTCTCCCGATTTTCATGAGTTTTCAAAGATAATGGTCAAAGGCTCCACAAGGACATTTGCCAACTCCCTCAGTACCCTTGGATGCATTAAATCCATGGATTTGTGTATGTTTAGCTTTTCTAAATAGTTCATAACCTGTTCTTTTCCTACCAAGGGCTGTCTACCTCCTTTCCATACTGCGTTGCCTAGTGCATTTGTTTGGGAGCTGACCTTGTTCGTGGAGACAGAGGCAAAGAAAGCATTGAGTACTTCAGCTTTTCCCACATCATCTGTCACAAGGTTACCTCCCTCATCCAGTAGGGGCTCCACCCCCTCTCTGATCACCCTCTTATTGTTAACATGCTTGTAGAAACCTTTCATTACCCTTCACATCCCTTGCCAGCTGCAATTCCAATTGAGCTTTTGCCTTCCTGATAATTCCCTTGCATATTTGATCAATATATTTATACTCCTCCCTAGTCATCTGTCCAAGTTTCCACTTCTTGTAAGCTTTCTTTTTGTGTTTAAGCTCACCGTGGATGTCCCCAGTAAGCCAATCTGGTCGTCTACCATATTTGCTGTTCTTTCTGCACATCAGGATGGTTTCTTCCTGTGCCTTTAATAAGGCTTCTTTAAAATACTGCAGTCTCTCCTGGACTCCTTTCCCCTTCATGTAAGCATCCCAGGGAATGCTGCCCATCAGTTCTCAAAGTCTACTTTTCTGAAGTCCAGGCTGTGTATTTTGCTACTCTCCTTTCTTCCTTTGGTCAGGATCCTGAAATCTACCATCTCATGATCACTGCTTTCCAGGTTGTCACCCACCTCTACTTCCCCTACTAGTTCCTCCCCGTGTGTGAGCTGCAGGTCAAGTTGCACACGGCTCCTGGTCGGTTCCTTCAGCACTTGTACCAAGAAGTTATCCCCAGCATTCTCCAAAAACTTCCTGGATTGTCTGTGCACTGCTGTATTGGTCTCCCAACAGATGTCAGGGTGATTAGTCGCCCATGAGGACCAGGGCCTGCGATCTGGAAGCTTCTCTCAGTTGTCCAAAGAAAGCCTTGTCTACCTCATCCACCTGATCCGGTGGTCTATCGCAGATCCCAACTACAACACCACCACTGTTGCTTCCACCTCTAAACTTAACCCATAGACTCTCAACAGTCTTTTCTCCCTCTAAATACTGGAGTAGTGATATCAACTTTAAAAAGCCACACAAGGGGAAATCCAATAAACCACTTTCAGAGTAAAAGAGAGAGTTTATCCTAGGTTTTATACTATATCTTGTTTATGTTGGGACAAAATTTGGGGGATTGTAGTCAGTAGTGGGGGGGATGCTCTAAAATAATCAGGTTTATCATGTCCCCATGCTTTGATTTAAAGAGTTACCTTTATCTAAGAAACAACAAAGATGATTATAAGGCAGTCTTACTGCATTGGTGAAAGTTTGCATTGCCTGCTATATTGATAGCTGATACTAGACAGAGAGAGAGGATCCAAAGGAAACATTTATAAAAGGAACATGAGAGAGAAATAATGCAATAATTAATTAAAAACAGGATTTGCAGATACAAATTTAGCCAAATTAAAGGGAGGGGGAGCAAAAGCTATCTAGGTAAAGTACCATTTAAAAAAAAGAGTACTGTGGCTGACATTTTATTAGAAGTGAATTACTGTAGAGTCACTCAAGAAGTCATCTGGCCCTGCCCAAAGCAGGAGCAGCTCCAAATAAATAATCCTAGCCAGGGCTTTGTCAAGCCGGGACTTAAAAACCTAGGATGGAGAGTCTATCACCTCCCTAGGTAACCCATTCCAGTGCTTCACCACCCTCCTAGTAAAATAGTTTTTTCCTGATATACAGCCTAGCCCTCCCCCACTGCAACTTGAGACCATTGCTCCTTGTTCTGCCATCTGTCACAGCCTCCTTAGAATCCCCTTCAGGTAGTTAAAGGCTGCTATCAAATCTCCCCTCACTTTCCTCTAGACTAAACTAGGGATGTAAGTGTCTAATCGACTAGTTGACTATCTGATAAACAAAAGCATATCAGATAGTTGACACACTAGTCAACTAGTCATGTCCCGCCCCCTTCCTGCTTCTATCAGAAAGAGGCAGCTAGGAGGGGGAAGTGGAAGGGCTGGCAGAGTTCCAGCTCTGTGGGAGGGGTCAGAGTAGCAGCAGTGGCATGCCAACTTTGAAATGTCCCAGCTGGAGCTCTTGTACATTTCAAACAGAAAGCGCTACATGGAGCCCTGGGTCAGCAGGGACTCCATGCAGTATTTCAATCTTTGAAATGCGCAAGGGCCCCTGCTGGGGCTCTTGTACATTGCAAAGGCGGAACACCGCACTATTCCTTATTGACTAACCAAATAGTCGATGAAAATCCCATTGACTATTCGATTAGTTAATTATTTGAAATTTAACAGGCTTAGACTAGACTAAACAAGCCCAAATTCCTAAGCCTTTTCTAGTAAGTCATGTCCTCCAGCCCCCTAACCATTTTTGTTGACCTCCACTAGACACTCCAATGTGTTTACATCCTTTCAGTAATGGGGAGCCCAGAATGGCACACAATACTCCAAATGTGGCCTCACCAATGCCAAATAAAAGGGAATAATCGCTTCTCTACATCTGCTTGCTTTTCCAGAGACCAGTATCTGTAGTCAGTTTGAGA